ATTATTCCCGAGCGTGTACGTGTATGATTGGAGTCGTGAAATTTGATGTAAATTTCTATTTTTAATTGTTACGTTGTCAATTACTAAAGCAGTAATAACTGCGTAAATCGCATAAGACATTGATAGAATTATATTTAATTCGCCTTTCTTTTAATTTAGGAATACAAACACAAGTAATACTTAAGCTTAACATTTGTCAATTAATTATTCTTAATATTACTTATATTATAAATGCGAAAGTTTGGATGGTGAAATGGTAATTGGTCCAAATAGCCTGGAAAAATACACACATTACTTACTAATTAAAATTCCGAGCGACTTTGACTATTAGGCAAACTCCAGTAAATAGTTATCAGAAACGCTGAATTATTTGTAACAAGATAACTCTAGTCACAAATCCTATTGATGAATTAATCTTGTCGTTCCGTATCTAAACCATATATTTACTTCAAGCTATGTATAATTAACGAACGATTAACTATTATCAGGCTAGTTTTGTTTTAGGGTATTTTAGAACTTTCGTGCATCTATGTTCAGTTCATTTAACACGTAAGCTACTGCGAGTCAATTCCTTTGTGATTGGCTTTTTATATAGTATTCTGTTTTGAAACTAGAGGTATGTACAGTTAGAATATTTCCAGCGTTGTCGCAAAATTGATGAAGTTTCGGAAAACCATTACGACTAGGCTTTTCTTGTTTTCCATTTTATAATCCCCTCGAAATCTTTTTCAATTTCACTAAGTCGAAAACGAGGGATTTTTATTTTATTCTATGTTATTTTACAATCTATTTTCAAAAGATTAATCTTTATAAATATTTTTCCAATGCTGTGTTTGACAATAACAAGAGCCGTTGTTTTATTTATAAGCTCTTCATATCTACTTCTTAAAATTAGTGGTTTGTTTAATGTTCAAACATTAATTCAAACATGAAATACTTAACAGTGGTACAAATTAAACGCTGCTATCAGCATCTCGTAGTAGATTATTCGTAGTACAAATTCGAGTGTTGTTCATTACCTGTTCAAGGGAAATAGAGTCCGTCGCAAATTATTCAAATGTATATCATATGGAATACGCTTAACATAGAAACATTAAACAACGATATAAATCATAATCTCTCTTTACTATTCATCTGCATATTACTCTAAAAGTGATTCCCGTTGAACTTGAAGACGATCTACGTAACTGCATTAGTTATTGGTAAATTTTCAATTTGTGAATAAGTTTTACATGTACCAATATAAAAGAGCATTTGATATGAACATAACATTATCGTTTTTACAGAAAGATGTATTGTTTAATTTTTGTCACCCACATCTTCTAATGTTGCTTTTTGACTGCCAGACACCAGGAACGGTGTATTCATATTAATTTGTTATAGAAAAAACTATAATTTTATTTTAGGAACTTTATCAAAATTGAATTAGTGAAAAAGCAGAAATGGACATTATTTTAACACGAACGTGAACAGAATAAAAATTGGAAATGTAAAGTGACATGCTAATTATCTACGTTAGTATGAATTTGGTCTACAAACCTAATTAATGCCTTTCATTCGTATGGGTGTATGTTAGATTGCTATCAGAGTTTCGATGTCCATCAGGAGTTGCCGTTAATGATTCGGCGTTAGTCCTAAAGCGGTGTCAATATCGGGGTCGGAATTTCTACACCACGATCACGTTGTCCTGTACTTTCTTTTGACGTTTTTATTTGGTCTCGCCGACTATTGTCTTCTGTAGGACACTTTATATCCTGCCATTCGATCATATGAACATCAGTTATCGGCAGGACATTGCCTGGTCTTCATCGATTTTTTGGTGCTCGAAATAAATTTAATTTTCAGTTACAATGTGTCGGATGTTCGGTGTCCTGTCTCTGGCCTACGTGGCTATCTTTATCACGGTAGTGCAATGTAGTGAAGATGTGACAACATCGGGAATTACCAGTTTTTTGAGCCAAGGTACCTTTAAATAAGCAAATTAGTAATTTAATTCGTGTACTTTGTGGATTCAGAATGGTGATTCTGTTTAGTGTAATTGTAGTTTAACTATAACAAATTGCTAGATTGCTAGATATAGAATAAATAGATATTTTTTCTGAATTCAAGAATAGAATAAAACTAGCCTAAAAACCTGAAAAAATCATAAGAAATTTAAGATAAAAGGTTCATTCAATAAGACTTACTTAAAGCAGTCATAACAAGTCAGTCGTTGCACGTTTATAACATTTCATAATGTAAAAAGACAAAAGGATTTCAAGAAAAACTGTTTCGTTAATCATTACGTCATTACGTGGTCAATAAAATACATATTTTAATTTTTATTAGTATAGATATGCTCTAAAGTGAAAATGTATTTATCTTTAGATGTTGACGTCGGCCGTACGTTCGGAAGGCCCGCTCTAAAAAGGCTATCCTTCATCTTCCTACCTGTGATGTTCACGTTGGGAGTTATATCCACTCTGATGCTCGCACTCGCTGTTATATCCGTGAAGAATCTTGCCATTGGCGTAATACTACTCATCGTTGCCATCAGTCAGGTAATATTATCTTTTAAAACACTACTCAAATAAGTGTTACCATACCCTAAGATGAAATTTTAACCTTCATAAAACTAAAAAAAGCTACGACGCGTAATGCAGTATATGGATTTATGAGCTGAACTAATTGTGTCAACCACGCATTGAGTGGGATAATTGTAGGAGAAACGATGTTTAAACTTAAACGGCGTGTAAAATATTTTTCAATATTCTCCCAACAGGCGGCATCTCGATTGTTCTTCGCGGCCACCTCGCCCTCTTCTCCTTTAGTGCACCTGCACCCGCGAGCTGAACTGTTACCGGCGCCTGCTCCATGGCCGGCTTCGGGACCCCTCCTCTCGCCCTGGGCGAGATCTGGCGATGACGCAACCATTTCTGATTAAGTCAAACATTAGTTGGAAATAATTTACTTGTCATAAGCGATTGAATCTATCAATTATCTTGTAGGGATGTAACATTCCAAAAACATATCGAAGCTATATTTTGTATACGATTTAGTTGTAAGATATTGAGTTTGCATTTGTGGCGTGTAAGATCTTCGTCTGTCTCTCGCAAAACAATATTTTGCGAAGGTTAGACGACGGTATGGAAGTAGATATTAAGAGTATTTATACAACTACCTCCTTAAGGATTAAAATATTTGAATTATTTCATTGGTTTTATTTTTCTTAATATAGTCAAGAACATCTGACCTTCTATTTTCTGTATTGTATCAAAAAATTAAAGGATTTTTGGTGCTCAACATAATTATGCTGAGTTACAAATTTGTAAACACATCAAAATACATATATGATTTAGTTAGAAAGTTTAGTAATCTTACTTAAAACTTGTTCCTCCTCTTTGATAATTAGCTCCGCCCCGGGTGGTGATGACCACGCTGTGAAATTAATTTGCGACGATTAACTTAAATTAATCTTGTCAGATTCACTTTCTACGTTCGTCGAACTTGGATATCGTAACGAGTTCTACATGGAGAATAGAGATATACGTTAAATATTCGCACGCATGACAAATGGACGTACACGCAAGAAGTAATTTGCATAGATTAACGATAAAAAAAATGAAACATCAACATCACGATATCGTAAATGCTCGTAACGATTTCTATAAAGAACTGAAAGTTTCTGACTGATGTAAATGGTAGTAACTTTATTTGTCGTTATATTTTTATGTCTTGTTTTTAAGATAATAGCTAATATTCACATAATAGCTAAGTTTGTGTTTTGAATGATAATATCCAAGTTCATAAACTGAATAACAGATACAATAGCAATGGCGTCTGTGACACGCTCTAAATCTTTTACCTGCATTGTAAAATAGCCCACGTTACAAGTGATGATTCTAGTTCAATACAATTTCAATACCAACCGTAGCGCTATAATAATAGAAATTTTACTTGGCCAATTTAAATTTGTGAAATTTTTAATAAGACTTATTTGTTGGCTTAAAACAACTAATAACATTTTCTTCCATTATCTTAAGCTTTTTAATTTTCCTTATAAACATGAGTTAATAAAAGAGAAAGCTATGTTAATAATGTCTTGGATCCATAGGTTATCTTTGTACTTGATTTTTCATCGGTTTCTAACCAGTTAAGACTTTCTCAAACCCCATAATTTATGGCCTAAGGCATGCTTAAACCCTAAACGAATGTACAGTGAGTTGAATTCCACTGTTGAAATGTACAAATGTGTTTTCTACGTTGACTGAATTCCAGAGACAATGATATATTGAACTATAACATATGTTGCATTTTATCCAATAATTATTCACATTTATCGTAAACATTATGACTTGACCTTACCCCGAAGTGCAAAGGAACGAAATTATAAGATCATCTACATACGACTTGGATCCAGTACATAAAACGCTTTTAATAAACGAAAGCGAAAACGAAGAAGCAGTTTTTATTTTACGTATATTTAAAAGTCAATTTCTCTCGTTAAGTAAATCAATGTAACAATTTCGTAAGAAATTTTAAAAGACCTTTAAGTTTTTAATACTTTACAATATTGAACCTTTTTGTTCGTTACTTAAAGGTCATAGACAGCTTCATCGCATCGAAAACAACTACGACTGTATTTAATTGTTATGAAGTATGCATGCACCCTACTGAACATAAATAAATTTTCTTAAAACGTTACTTTTACATAATTCAATTACACTATTTTTTATACCTAACGTAACTAACGGACGTAAGTTAGTAGTTACGATTATATAAAAAAATCTCTAGACGTATCCTAAGCCTAGTCTATCCTTTGAACGTTGGTTTAACTAATTTAAGTTGGATAACACCGGTACTAAAAGCAATACGATGTACAAGCATAAAGTAAAATTAACAACATTATTGTTACTATTACTTAAACAAAACCGAACTAGATTAGAAACGGGGTAAACTAGTCGCAGTGGGGAGTAGGGAGATCGCGTCCGGCTCGCACTTGCGAAGTAACAGGCAAAATGAACGCGTCGCACGCGCTTCGATATTCTTGCATCTTAACGTTGTTTCTATGTCTAACATACTCTACGGCCTTGGGACATAGTTCACAAAATGAGGATGTCAACGTGAAAAAGGTTCAAGTGTACGATGGTGTTTATGTGACGGTGCCCAAAGGGAATGACACGGACAGACTGGTCTCATTGGAAATTCAAACACAAGATGACTCGGAGATCGAAACAGGTCAGTTGGTTTTTATGTTTCATCACTAGCTAACCCTCACGACACCGTCTGCGTGGAGTTTCTAAAAAAAACTTCATTAGTCTTAATATAATTGCGACTTTGTTAGCAAAAGCCCACAGTCATGAATTTTGGCTAGGTAGGTAATTAAGGTAACAATTTTCTCACTGGAGTCCAAATATTGCAATCAATGTCAGTATTGTTTTTTGATACAAATTCAAATTTCATTTTAAGTTCAGAAAAATGTGAACAATGTCGGTTATAAATCATTGCAATGCCGGGACGATCTTTCCCGACAAGCATGTAATCAGATCATACGGAAAACTGGAACATACAATAAATTATACTATGGTTTACTTGATTGACCATATACAGCGGATTTATCAACTAATATTAAAATGAGTTTAATCGAAGCAATGAAACAGTGGCGACAATACTTGTATAATGTACCACAGATTATGGTAAAATCTTAAAATAACGACGAAACCATGTTATCATGAGTAGATCTCATAAAGAACGACATTTTATGTTAGTATCCGAGGAAATTATTACAATCTAAACAAATGCTATAAAGAGGACAGATTTGTATTTTTGTATGTATTAAAATAACTACTGGGCCGATTTCAAAAATTCTTTCACCGTTAGAAAGGTCATTTATCTGTCAGACTATTTTTTTTTTATTTTAAGCGGACGATGTCGTGAGCAATAGTTAGTATATTATAAATTAAAATATTCAGAATTATAATAAACTTTATAATACTAATTACTTTCACTTTACAAAAAATATGTACTAATTAAACAGATAAAAAAGAAAAAATAGATTTTAACTTTAAAAAAGATAATTTTGCCAATGCAAGCGAGGCGACACAAGATTGTTACCTAATAAATAAAATATTCATAAAACTGTTCAATTTAAATTTAGAAAGTTGCATTTTGAATTATTAGTTATCGCTTATTAATTCATACGACTTGCATAGTTGCATAATATTAGATAAATAATGGGAAAATTAATACGTGTTTAAGGAACAATAAAAAATTAAATAAAAACAATAAAACTTGTTAATGCAAACTCAAGTAAGATAATCATATAATTTATATGGCTATGATATAATCTACATAGTACATTGTTCTTTGGTTACGGTGTTTTATTACGAAGATGTAACGTTTAGTAACAATTATACTATTTGACAGACTATTAACCTCAAAATTATTAAACCATATTACAACAAAATAATGCCGTTAACTCTTAATTAATTATTAAAGTAGTGAAACTAAATAAATGCAAATAATAATGTTATCAAAAGTTTTGTAGATCACAGTTACAATGTAAGGAAATGAGAGCGCCACTTAAATTGACCGGCGAAGTAGATCGAAATCGGTAGAAAGTGAAGGCGTGATTATTTGTATAAAATGACCATGGTAAAATTTTTTACCTTGTAGTTATATAATAAAACATCAGTAAGTACTAATGTGGTCCAATTGAAATCCCCAGGATTCACTGACGTACGATAGGAAGGAAGAAATTTGAGGATTTACAAGTTGAAAGAGAAATGTAGCAGAAAATAGTAAAAACACGGATGAGTTTGAAAAACTCTGAACTAGCAGAAATCGACACACGATGACATATTATATTTTATTAGCGTCATAGAGTGAGGTTAGAGCTTCATTACCAACGAACAACATTGGTAGCCTTTTTGTACCCATACAAAACTATTACCTTACCAGTTTAGCAAAAGGCTACCAGTCGGTAAAACCATGACCTACCGCAACACCAAACAAGTAATATCTGTGAATACATATTATCACACTATCGAAATATCTGCTTAATCTTTTATAAACTTTGTTAAAATATGATCGTGTTACCTTTTCAAAAAATTATATGATAAAAATTGCGATGACCATTTTAGAAAATGAAGCAATTTATAAACATTGTATCTCAACACTTTCACATTTAGTATCGCAATTGTTGAATCATTTTTTTTACTCTAATGTACAAAACTCACTCGTATACGTATTAAAGTTGCGTGTGGTTTGGTTCAAAGAAAGTATCTCATTTCTTTTGTTATATAAAGCATTTCGCGAATAAAATTGCTTGTGGGAGGAAATTCTTTTACGCTTTCGAATTTTATAATTAAATTTTGATTACGATTGTTTTAATTAATAGGTATTAGCGTAGTTATACTAAATAAGTGTTAGGTTAGGTTAGAATATTAGGTTGTTATACTCTGTGTGATTAATCAGATATGATACTTTCCATTTCAGGTCGAGGGAAGAAAGTTAAATCGAAAAAGTTATTGCAGAAGTTGCTGCCAATGTTCATCATGCCCTTTTTGATACAATCAGCAATCGTTCCGTTCTTTTTAAGTATGCTTAAATTCATGCTGTTCAAGAGTCTCATGGTTGGGAAGCTAGCTTTAGGACTTATAATGTTAAACGCCTTTAAGAATAGCAATTCCTTTAAAGGCAGGGATGCTGAAATAGCAAACGTACATTACGGTTACCATGGCAACAGTATGCACGAATATGGAGCATACATTAATTAAAAATATTCGTCGCAATAGATATAAATTGCCCATCCCAAAGTCATTTTAGTAATAGTTATTTATTTTGTTAATTTAAAATTAACTTGTGTAGTTAAAGCAAAGTATTTAATTGTGCAATAAGCTTACAGCTGACAACCTTATTATTTTCCATACTCCATATAAATAATGTTTTAGTCTTGTCTATGAGAAGAACTGTAACAAATCCTGAATACTCTGAATTGAATTACGCATGGCTCTCAACTTTTGATTTATTTTCATTTTATTTATTCATTTTAACTGTTATTCATTTTATTTATTTAATTTTATAAATCGAGTTAATTATACATTGTTCACTTAAATAAATTGTATAACATACTGTTGTATTGTTAGTAAGTAGATAAATTAGATAGGATGAAAAAATTAAAATTGTTACTTATTTTAGTTGCTTCTAAGAAGTGTTTAAGTGCTAAGATAAGAAGCAGCCAGAAGCTAAGAAAATTTTAGGAGACTAAATTAAGATTGCTATATTATTTAGTGTTTATTTAATTATTGCTTAATTTTTAAATTACGGAAGCAACCTTTATTTAGCGAAGCTAATTTTTTCTGAATGTAGTAAATGTTTCAAAAAGGTGTGTTAATGTAAAATGATTTAATTAAATCCTTTAAGATTTATTTAATTGAAGACTTAAATTAATTAATTTTACTTAATTGAAGATTCTTAAATTAAATAAATAAGAAAATACATAAACTATCAATCTGCTGGTTAACATTTAAATTAGAAAAAAAGGTAAAAAACTGTTTTACTATACTAGGAAATGTTTGAATTTATTACTATTCGTACTAAAATTTAGTTACTATAAACATATATAGAATATAGACTTTACAGTATTTGCTTAGTAAATTAACTACCTAATCGAGTCAACACTAGTATTTAACAACTGTTATCAAAATAAAACTGTTTTCGAATACATTTTTTTTAATTTGTTGAAAACATTTTAGATTAAGTGACAATTGTAATTATGTTAATACTAGCTTTCACATAGGCTAGGCTCACACATTTAATAACAAAAGTGAGTCTATGTGTTCTTCCAGGCTATCTTCTACTTCTATGCCAAATTTCATTGAGATCCATCCAGCAGTTTAGGCTAAATACTCATACAAACATCCATCCACCCATCTAAACATGTATGTGAGAAAAATTTGATTTCAATAAAAAAACGTCATACGAAAGAAGTTTGTTGGAAAGCTAAAATGAAACGTCTGGGAACGAGTTTTGAAAACGAGTTTATCATCTAGTTGTGAGTGTGAAGACATAAAATGAAAAATGCGTTTTTTTTTTAATTTTTCCTTCTATCAAAGAATTCAATTAAAAAATGGTCCATGTTCGAAGATTTGTAAATGATTGTGAATTTTTGATAAGATCTATATCAAAACACTGGTTCAATTGCAAGCCATAACAATTGAAGTGCTTGTAATCAGATTGTAATGTACGGTGACCATGAATTAAATGTTATATGGAAACTACCAAGAGGAGGTGTAGATAGTAGTAAATAAGTTTTATAAGGTCTTATGTAAACGAAAATAATAAAATATTTTTATGAAAAAAGTGAAATAATCCAGGAACCCAAGTGGTAGCGAAAAGGATACGATCCATGTCCTCCGTTATTAAAATTGATTTTGACAATATTTAATAAAAATGCTTATTATTTTGTTATTTACTATGTAGTTAAAATACTGAATACGGTCAAGTATCTAGTAATATTACCTGCAAAATGCATTTATATGCGGTTAAGAGGAAATATCACATTTATATGCGATAGTTACTGGGAGAATTTTTCCTCCAAGCGTCATGGTCACTACATTATCTTGCAGAAGTCCAAACTAGTACGCGAGTGAAACGTCGAAGTAATGTCGTAACCTGCAACTGTTGCTTTTTGCCGAGACCTCAGTTGATATCTAATAGTTGAAGGTAGATGAAGAACATTTTTGTAGACTACTTTACTTGATTGGTTACCATTTGTGTGCGATTTGTGGTTTTAGTTGAGTTTTATAAATGTGTAAGGAAAACGCTTAAAGGTACGTATGGTTTTTTAACAAGGAAAATTTTGTATTATTTGTACTTTCAGACTAATAAACAAATCTAAGCATTAATAAAAAGTGCAACAAATACAGACTTCTTGTTTTACTTGTTTATCATGTTTTGATTTATCATTCTTTCGAGTATTTTTGATTAAAGACTTTTCTTTAAGGATGAATTATTATTATTAACTACTATATTTAGGTATGGTTCTCTTTTAATTTTGTACATAGTAAAGAACTTGTGTAATGTGAGATAATATAAGTTAAACATGTATAAATTTTCATTAGTAGTTTTTAAACTAATAAACTTAACTTGAAATAGTAAATATTTTGCAATGATATTATAGACTATTTAGTTTCACTTGTAGCAACAGTTACGAAGTGATACGTGACAAACATACGTACCATTTAAAAGTAGAACAAAAAACGTTTTGTATTAGAAGTACTTTGTACCATTATTGTTTATGGCTATTATTTTTATTATACTGGACACATATTCCATGCCTAATGAATTTTCCGGATATCAATTAATATACACACACGCTTGTCTTACATTCACGTTACATTACATTAACTTGTAAGCTTATATGACTGTATCGTGGGTCTCACCAGTGGTGGCAGGGAGTTGGGGCCATTAGCATGGTTGAGAATCGTAAATGTAAGATGGTTATACAAACTACTTCAAATAAGACCATGCTAATGCCAAATTTCCCCCTGCAACACGACCTAGCCTAGATTCTCGGCTAGCGACGCCCGTACTCTTTCTTTTCTTTGGGTATGTAGGTTTGTTTTATTGTAACTACAAGATGACTTAATAATTTGGCTAAATATGAAATGTGTCTTTAGATTCTTCTTTGAAGCGAGAGAGTTGAAATCGTTTAGTTTAGTTTTTTTATAAATATGCTGTAGTATTCTTACTAAGTAGTGTTGAACATGAATTTTATGGGATAATTTTTTGTACCTTAATTTAATCCTTGTTTGAAACTTTGCTGTTTCTCACACGGAAATCGTTATTAAAAATGATATAATTAATTAGATGTACATGCCCCCGGTTATAGTAATTTAGAAAGTAGTACATTAAACCACCTATCGCGTAAAAAATAGTGAAAGTTCCCGTTGCTACAGTTACTATTGCTTATGTTTTCTGCAACATCCGATCTGTATCTTTGATAATAATTATGGTACAATAACTAATGGATACCATTAGTGTGAAGATTGGTAATACAACATTAACGTTTGATACATATTAGACTTTATAATAAAGGTATTTAAAAGCTAAATTGTTTTGTATTACAGATGAAGATGAATATTCTAGAGTGGCTATGGCATAACAAAGTAATCACAATACTGGCAACAACGACGTTCTGCCTCTTTGTTTCTACGATAGCACTTGCATCTAAGAAAAATCACACTCCTGTACATGGGCAGATTATTAAATCAGCCCATTTAAGGAATGTTAAAAAAATTTTATCACCACATTCTTTAAAACTTGAAGTAAGTCTGTCCTAAGGTAGTTAGCATACATTCTGTTTTCAAAAATGTTGATAAGTTTATAGTAATTGATGAACTGTGATAATGTTTAACCATGCTACTAGTATTATAACATACTATAAATTATATTACTATTTTATTAACTATATTACTAACTATTCCAACTAAATTAGAGTAAAATATTTGATAATTAATTTTTCCTTTAAACAATTTGTAACGGAGCGTCGGTGGTTCAGTGGTTTAAGCACTTGACTTTTCTACAGGTCTTGGGTTCGAATCCCGCCATGTACCAATGTGATTTTCGAATTTTCATATGTACATAATTTACCCGACGTTCTTACGGTGAAGGAAGACATTGTGATGCAACCTGCACATATCGGCGAATAAATTCGAAGATATGTGTGAAGTCAACCAACCCGCAATGGGCCAGCGTTTGACTATGGCCTAGTCACCCCTTACTAGGTAGGCTCCGAGCCACTCGGTGGGAACTTGTAGGGAGCTGGTGGATGTGATGAAACAATTTGTAAGAGTGTTAAAACAATAATAGATGTCTCCACGCGTCTGTGTCTCTCATTATCTTTGTCAATGTTCTATATTTGAAAAAATAAAGTTTATTTTTCTTTTTTGCAGAATGATCACAATAGACTACCCAGAAATGTAAAACCGTTAAATTACAAACTACATTTGGCCCCGAATATAAATAATAAAACATTCGAAGGAAATGTTTCTATACTTCTACAAGTTCTAGAACCGACCAACATAATTATTATGCATGCTAAAGATTTGATAATACATGATGTGAATTTAAAAAACGTAGTAAATACACTTATCGAGAGTTCTATCGAACATGAATCCCATAATGAAATATTGCAAATAAACTTAGAAAATGAAGCAAAACAAAGACAAATAATCCTGTCAATTACATTTTCGGGAAAACTGGATAACAAAATTGTTGGATTCTATTCAAGTTCGCTAAAAACTGGCGGGTAAGTTAACTTTTATGGTATGTATAAACGACAAATAGATATAAAAAATACAAATTCCTAACTAAAATCGTGAAAAAATCGTATACCTACTCTTCTTAAAATATTTCGATTGGCTTTCACTTAATATGAAGATTTTAAGGCGAATTTAAAATGAAAGTTACAAGAACATAATGAAGATATCGCATGTGCTGTTTATGTCAACATCAAATTAAAATAGCCATAAAATAAAAAAGAAATGTCAGTCTTTTTTAAGTTTGCATTTTGTTTGCAAGTAAACTTGATTTGGGGTTTCAAAATGGACCGTACTGTCAGTTCTGTGCCCTAAAATTTTGAATTTATTTAGTCATTTTAAACGTAATAATAAATGTAATAAATAATCCGGGATAGAAAATGCTGCTTAGGTTAATAACAAAAATTTAATAACAAAAGCTACTATTTGATAAGAATTTCTGTTTTCTGTTATCTTATCTATCCATCTGTCAAACTGCTGTCATTATTACAATTGTCATACGTCACAACGCAAGTGAAATATTTTGGTTGATAAGTGATAAATGAAAATAGAAATAATACAAAAAGATACGTTTAAAAATCGTGAATGTTTTTTTAATTCATGTGCATCGATGATATCAAGATCTCATGTTTTACGGTCAACTTTAAAATTGAACCGCCTATCATTTTGTCATAATAAACAGAATCATAACAAAATAAAGATAATGGAAAACGTACCTAGTACTGCTCTAACAGAAAGACTTTCTCCATTAGTCCGTCCTGGGCATTACAGGCTCCTTCTTAGCCCCAATCTTGATAACGGGGTTTTCCAAGGGAATGTAAAAATCGACGTTATCGCTAAACATCAAAACAATCACATAAGTTTGCATACAAAGTTTTTGAACATAGAAACTGTAAAGGTTTATAAAAATGGCGAGGAATTTCCTATACAGAAATGGATAGAAATGAAGAATTTGGAACAACTTGTCATTATATTTAATAATGTTTTAAGTTCTGGTACCTATAATATCCACATAAACTTTTCTGGCGATTTGACTCGTAATATTGTTGGATTTTATTTATCTCATTTAAAAGATAAGAGGTGAATAACTTTTTCATTAAACAGTAACTTCCGGTTATAGAGACTGTTAGAATGCTAATTCTTCATTGAATGTATGATGTGATAACACATATGAATTAGTTTGTTGAAATTCTAATAAGGAACATATCTGTAAATAAAGAAGTATTAAGAAAAATTAACTTATCTTTTTTCAGTAATATGGTGGCGAGTAAATTCCAACCAACTTATGCTCGACAAGCATTCCCCTGTTTTGATGAGCCTGACTTCAAAGCAACATATGATATCACTTTAGTTAAGCCAGTCTCTTATGTAGCCCTTTCCAACATGAATGTAAGTGTGATTATAATTTAGAAAAGGAAATATCAAAATTCACAAAAAAAATGTATTAGATGGAAACAACATTATTTACCAATCTTCAATTACATATGTCTTGATACTATTTGGATTATTTCAGGAAATATCTAAAACACAATGTGAAGATAAAAATACAGAAGCTGTGACCTTTGCGACCAGTGTCCCAATGTCTACATACTTGGCTTGTTTTGTTGTTTGTGATTTTGATTTTAAAGAAACAGAGATAGATGCCAGTGGTATTGGTAATAATTTCAAATTGCGTAGTTTTGCTCAGAGAAATCAAATGCACAAAATTGATTTTGCACAAGATATTGGGGCAAGAGCTACAGAATTTTATATCAAATATTATGAAGTACCTTTCCCACTACCAAAGTTAGGTAAGTGTAGCCATTGTTAAAAACATTGCAAATGTAATTTTCTGTTCAGTTTTCACATTTTAAAATGTCATTACAAAAACACATTGTAATTATTTTGATAGCTTTGTGATTGAAAAAATAAACAATAATCCATTTTCTTAAGCTTGTGCAAAATTAGTAATATCACATATTGCAATATTTCAGATATGATAGCTATTCCTGACTATGTATCAGGAGCGACTGAACATTGGGGTTTGATAACATATAGAGAAACATCATTCCTTGTGGACGAGGCGACGGCTTCCTCCAAGAACAAGATAAGTGTTGCGAACACAATAGCTCATGAGTTAGCGCACATGTGGTTTGGTAATTTAGGTATGTTTTATAATATGTTTTATTATTATTAATAGTATTAGCCTTATTTTAGATTTTAGGAATGGCTTTAAAAAAATTGTTAGTAGCCTTTGTGGTTTTTGAGACTATGCTCTATCTATGCCTAATTTCATTGATTCTATACCAGAGATACTTTCAACAAACCTCCATATATCCATTTATCTATCTATCCACCTAAAGTTTTCTATTTATATTATTAGTAACATTCTAGAAAATTTTCCATTTATTGCCACAATTTTTTATGTATAAAACATATCAGATTAATTTAAATACAGAAACAGTCTACACATATATTTTCCTGAAATATGCTAGTAATTTCAAAGTAAAATATAATCAAACATAAGTACTTTATGTCATTTTAGTTGGTTTCTTTTATATTAATGTATGGGACGCAAAATTCTCTTTAATATTTTCAGTAACAATGAAGTGGTGGGATGAGGTTTGGCTCAATGAGGGTTTTGCCTCTTACATGCAAGTTAAAGCTCTCAATGCTATTGAACCTTCATGGACTATGGTAAAATAACAAGTATATTTTTTATTATCAATGCTAGATTTCTAATTAGAATTATTTAATACTAGCTTTCCTAGCCTATCCCGTACATCTGTGCCAAATAACATCGAGATCTGTTAAGCCGTTTAGGCTACTTATAACAAACATCCATCCATCTAAACTTTTACATTTATATTATAAGATTAGTAAGATTGTAACATTTTAATATTGTTTTTTTTTGTTCAGTTAGATCAATTTTTGACAAAAACTTTGCACTCCGTGTTGGTGACAGATGCGAAACTGTCAAGTCATCCTATTTTACAAACTGTGGAGACTCCTGATCAGATCACCGCCATTTTCGATGCTATCTCGTATAATAAGGTAAGCAGTCTAAATAAAAGTAATGCTATTTTATTATAAAATTCAATAAACTGCCAATTAAAAAAAATATATACATATTTCTTTTTAATTTGTTTTATTTTTCAAAAAGGGTTCATCCATACTAAGAATGTTGGAAGGTTTTATAGGCGAGGAAAATTTCCGACGCGGAATATCTGATTATTTAAAGAAATATAAATATGGCAACACTGTAACGCAAGATTTGCTGTCGTGTTTGGAGCCGTATTTTAAAATGGATAATCCGAATCTGAATCTTTCGTAAGTTCTTTTGATATGAAGTAGCTTTTACCTGCGACTTTGATTGCTCAGAAATTAGACTGTAATATATTTAGAAAATATGAATTAAAAAAGATAGCCTATGCTACTCACTGATAACAAAAGATTTATTTAAAACTGCCTAGTAGTTTTTGAGTTATTTCAAGACATGCAAAAAAGTTTAAGCACACTGCACAGTGCACACAGACTCACCTCACAGCGAAATCACACACACAACACAACACACAAATGTTTTTTTTTATCCTTATTTGATCAAAAAGGTGTGGAGTTTATCGCTGATCCTTTTTGATCATATTAGGATATAAAAAAAATACATGCAAAAATAAAAATCTTTCCTATTTTAAACATTGGTATAATCGTCGATTAATCGATGATAATTAATTTAGCGTAATTGTATTATTTTCAGTTATATAATGGATACATGGATAAAGCAAATGGGATATCCAGTGTTAAATGTGAAATCCAGTGAAGAAGCCAACACGTTCGTTGTGACGCAGACACGATTCTTGCTCGACCCTGATGCAGTACAAAATAATGATTCTCCCTTTAAGTAAGTACTCTTTACTACTTTAATTTTATAGTATTTATTATAAAAATCTTACATTGGCCATGTTGTATTAATATTCAAATAATGTATCTACTAAGAGTTCGTTAAAATAAGGAAACACATTGTTAAACAAATATAAATAACACAGATTAACGAATAACTGATAAGAATATATCAAAATAGTTAAAAAGCGAACAATATGTTTACAATGAATGTTACTTGATTTAGAAAGAATTGATTTTTTGTATATTTGTATGTAACAACTAAATTAAAAAAACTATTGAATCGATTTCAAAAATACTTTTGCCATTAAAAAGTTATAAAGTGACTTTCTGAGTAACATAGGATATTTTTTACTAGATTTTTTTAAACTTGTGAACAAAAGCTGGCAAATTGAATTTGGTGTTTTCTCTGCCTTTTAATTAGTTTTCTTACTCAGACATACAATCTATCAGTTACAGATGGTTTATACCAATTACATACACAACAAATAAAGGGAAATACCAGAAAGTGCTTTGGTTTGCTGACAACGAAGATAACGGTAACTGTTGGTTTTATTTACGGCCGATTCTTGAAACGAATATTCAACTCTCCGCTTCGTAAACTGCTTACAAACTGACAGTAGTAAATTTTAATGGTATTTGTAGTTTCGTGTCTTTTACACTTAAGAGGCTGTTGTGTTTAGTTGTCGTTTCAGTATTGGGCCTTTTAAAAAAATATGTTTTTTCAACATAAAGTAAGTATAAAAATAGTGCTATCTCTCTCTTTTATTTTTTATAGAAATATTAGAGATAGTTGTATAGTTTTTCAATAGATACACAATAGTTCGTTTTTAAACCTGTTTTTTTTTATTGCAGTAAAGCTTCATTTAAAGGATGGAGAAAAGTGGCTGAAAATCAATAACAATCAAATGGGTTACTACAGAGTTAACTACCAGCTCGATATGTGGGAGAATCTAATTCATGAATTAAAAAATAAATCTGAGCAGGTATTGGTTTTTATTATTTTTTTTTATTATAATTTGTAATAAATAGGATTACTGCAGTCTAACAATGTCGTGATTGTGATAATGAGTAATCGTAGCATTTTTTAACCTTAGCTGTGGGTTTGTTGTTTTTCTTTTTTTTTTTCAAAAGAAATGTAATGGATAGGCATATTCTTATACAAGTTTTAACAATGGTTTAGCTCGAAATATCATAGTTTATGTCAAGTGGAAGCGTGTGACAAGTGTGCGTGAGGAAGGCCTAACTACGAGTAAGTTTTCTTCCCTTTCCCGCCCTTTTCTTATAAGAAATGATGGCAAAGGGCTATTAGGCAGGAGAGGGGATGCATAGGAAGGAGAACGATCTTTCTATGCAACCTTACTTTAATCGAAAAACGCAACGCAATTGCAATTGCGGATGTCTATGGGTATTGGATGTTTCACAATTAAGGTGTTTGCAATTTTAGAATATAAAAAAAAAATCTTTTTTATTACAAGTGTCACATAAAATAAATCTTTTAGCTGACTATATCCGATCGGGCCCATCTTCTTAATGATGTGTTCGCTATGGCGGAGGCTCGCTTGTTGCCCTACGACTTAGCTTTGAACCTGACCACTTACCTCAGAGAGGAGAGAGACTACGTGCCCTGGGATACCGCTTCCTCTGTGTTTTCACAATTATCTTCTCGGCTACGTAACACGGAGATATATGATGATTTGCAGGTAAAGTTACTTAAAACATATGTGTACTTTTAGTTTTTATATTTATAGCGTTTATTTTTTTTAGAAATATGTTCAATCTTTGGTGGAGCCAGTATATCGTGAGCAGTCATGGACGAAAAGTAATTTCAGTGTTATAGAAGGGTTAGTTAAATTTAGTTTTTTTTTAATTAGTCGAAACCTTTGTTACGTATATTTTAGATAATTTTATAGTTTATGGTAATTTTTTTTTAATTTTTCAGCCTGTTACGTACAAGAATATTGTCTTTGGCGACTGGTTTTAGTCTACCTGATGCTGAAGATAGAGTCAGAAGTCTGTTCTTGAGAAGTTTGAACAGCCACGGGACATCTGATGCGGTCCTCATCGACCCCGATCTTAGAGACTTTGTTTATTATTACGGTATTTAACATTTAAATCTATACTAATACTGTAAAGAGAATTTTTTTTGTATGTATTAAAATTACCCAAAAACTACTGGGCCGATTTCAACAATTCTTTCACCATTAAAAAGCTACTTTATCAGTGAGTAATATAGGCTATTTTTTAATTTAACGCAGGCGGAGTCGTGAGCAACAGCTAATTCATACTAAAGTTACATAAAAGCATATTTAATATTTTTTTTGTCAGGTATGAGATCAGCTACACAGTCTGATTGGGATAAATTGTGGCAAATTTATTTGAAAGAAGATGATGTTCAAGAACTTGCCAAGTTGCGACATGCGCTGGCAGCGCCGCGCGACGCCACCTTGTTACAAAGGTACAACCAATAACTACAACACAAACTGAGAGAGAATGAGACCAAGAGAGAGAGCGAGAGAGAGAGAAAGAGACCAAGAGAGGGAGGGAGAGAGAGAGAGAGGGGGGAGATAGAATAAATCTTAAATTAGATAAATTATCAGACATGTGGTTTATATTGCTTTTCATATAATTTATCTGTTGTATGCACTTGTGTGTGTGCTAGAGAAAGCGAGAATTTATTTTTTCAGTGTATTTTTACGCTTTATAAACTGTTCGATGTTAAGCAGTTTTTTTTAGCGGCGCCTACATTGATTGATAACATTTGTTAAAACGATTAAAGAGTTATTTTTCTACAGGGATATTAGAATGTAAACAAACCGAAAAATCTTTTTGATGATATTTGTTATACAAATTTTAATGGTCTCATGTAAACCAAATGTTTTTAGATATTACAAATCACATAAACTATAAGCAGTTATATTTAACAGTGGTAGAGCCTGCTTTAACATCTTCGCACTGTAGGGTCGGCTCGCCCCCAGCACGACGACCACACAGAAGACAGGCTTGAAGTGGGAGCAATTTCGCGTTTCGTATGATGAGTGTGGTGCCGGATGCCCTATTTTAGTCCCTTTCCCGTTCCACCAATTTCTTATATTGAAAGGATTAGCCGGGAAAGTGGATTTGACAGTGGAGGAGGCGCATAAGGAAATATACTCTTTATGTGCGTCTCCTCCTCCGTCGATTTAGGGTAGGCAATGCACCTGCAATTGCGGATGTCTGTGGGCATCGGTCGCTTCACCATTTTGGTGGATTGAGATAGCCGCTTCCTCGTTTACCACATTATTGTATAAAAAATATCGATATGAGAAATAAGTATTCAATGTTCAAGTTATCGTTTTAGATATCTTACTCTAGCGTGGGACGAATCCAATGTCCGTAGTCAGGATTACCTGAACGTGGTTCAGTTCATAAGCTCTAACCCTGTGGGCGCGGCGCTGGTGTGGGGCGACGTGCGCGCGCGCTGGCCGCAGCTTGTCGATAGATTCACGCTCAACAGTCGATATCTCGGCGGCCTGCTGCCGGCCATCACTAGCACTTTCGATACTACTATTCAATTACATGAGGTTAGTATAAAACTATTTATCTAAACTAGCTATCGCCTGACACTCTTATATTAAAAAAAAAACGTAGTAAGCATTTGTGTTCTTTCAGACTATGTCATCTGTGCCAAATTTCATCGAGATCCGTCGAGTAGTTTAGGCTACAAATTCTAAAAAACATCCATACATTCAAACTTTCGCATTTGTAATATTAGTACGATTTAGTTTTTGGAAAATTTACAGTATTTTTAGCTATGACATAAATGTAAATATTTCAATAATAAAGTGTGACGTAGACTATGGTTTGTATTAGTAAGTCTGAATCAAATTAAACCTTGTACAGAACTATTCTTGCTTTGTGCATAATATTTGTTGTTTTAATATTCATTAAAACATTTAACATGTGTGTAAAACGACTCATGAATAATTATTGATGGTTTAAAATGCGCATAAATCGCAATAACATTGTTACTATTACTTAAAACATGTCAGTACACAAACTATTCGTGTCAAATTGTCTTTTTAGGTATACTGTTCCTATTTATTCTGCAACGGTTTGTTATTTTCTGATCAAAAACTCAATTCTTATTTATTTATCAAATTATTTATTTACTTATTCTCTGATCAAATATCTTGCCGGTTCGGAACATGTACGAAAAGTTACGTAGAATATAACTTAAGGTTTAAATCCAATCGGAGGGCACTGTGCCGCACACTTGACCTTGAGCCATCAAGATATTTAGAAAGTTTATACTTTGAATATCAGATGCTCTCAAATTTATTGTTGCTACCATATATTCTTAATTTCAAGCCAGTCTTTTCGTTAAATTTGAAATCTTATACCTGCAAAAACTTACTGTTGTATATTTTTTTTATGGAAGTAAGAATTGAGAGGTATTTAAGAAATGTTTGGCTGTGGAAATCCACTATTAAATGCTAGGCCCTAATAGCTTCCGGCATATAAAGGTTTGTCTTTGTAAGAGATGATAATTAGGTCTTATCAACGATGACAATTTGAATGTTACTTAATTAACTTATTTTATAAAGTTAAAGGTCAGGGATATCATTTATCAATAGAATAAGGTACAGACAGTCAATAAAATAAGTAACGAAGGACATTAAAAGATTTTAATTGAAAACCTTTCTGATTAAACGTGTACTGTGATCTTACCCGTGCTCTTAAAATGCTAAACAGTAAACTTAACTTTAGAACAAATTTGCTCCAGCGTAAATCAATATCTCTCGATATATTACTTTTTTAAGAATTCCAGATAAATAATTGACATAACTCCTTAGTGCAGTGATCGTGATAATATTTTTTAATTAATGTAATAGAAATTTTTGTGTGTTTCTAGCAGATTTAAATCAGTAATGAAAATTTCTTCATCTTAATATTTTAATTTCTTTTATCATGTGCACTCTTTAGCCCTAACAAGACGTTATGTAACTTTTATTATTTTAATATTAAACATATATTTTTTTTAAACATGACTATAAATGCCCCGAAAAATATTGTCCCTCCTGTTTTCCAGGTCAAGACGATTTTGTAGATATGAGTTTTGTTTTATTTCAGATGGAAGAATTTTTCAAGAAATACCCCGAGGCTGGGGCGGGAGAGTCCGCTCGGAAGCGCGCGCTCGAGACTGTTAGAAACAACATTCGCTGGGCCGAAACGCAGAAGCCGGCTGTTGCCGCTTGGCTGAAAGCACATGTTTAAATGTCAATGAAAAATGTATTTTTTTAATTAGAAGATTGCTTGAATAAATGTATGCCAGAAATATAATTCGCTAAACCGCGACCTCGACCTTGTATTCGAAGATCGATGTCAGTCCGATGACCTCACAGTTGCATGTAGTGTAAAAATCATAAAATGCACGAAGGAACAACTCGGTTAAAGCGCATCGTTGCGTTGATCTAAAACGTGTCTTACAAGTTCTTATTAAGATAGATAATAAACTCACGAATGAACTTGAATTTTGTGTAAGTTGTTTATATTTACACGTTCGATGCGGTTAGATTTATCGGTAGTGAAGTTAACATGGACACACGCTGGTAAGTGTGACGTGGGGCCGTGGCGCGCCAACGCGTGGCAGTTTTTGTGCAAAAAACAAGAGCCTTAACAACGGAATCTGTGCGTAATTTCTGCTTGAGGTTTAAAATAATATATTGTGATATTTTTAACCTTTTTTTCGTGTATTTTGATGTACAAAGACGCTATTTATCAAAGTCTAAAAAAAAACTAGAAAAATAGTAGAAATACTTGATATCAATTTGGTTAAAAATGCTCGGGTTTTTTATAACATTTATTTTGTTAATGTAATAAATTATGTCTTCATTATTCAGACTTTTATTTTTTTTCTTATATCTAACACGCGTATATAGTCACAACACCGATATATAAATGGATAATATAAGATTTATATTTATTTAGTCAAAGAGATATTATTACGTGGAATATTAACAAAAACCACTTATAACCTTTGCGTAAAGTGTTTTTCTGCTGTTTTCGTTTTAACTTACAAGTGAACTCAGTACTTGACTAATTCAAATATTCTAATTTCTTCTTACCATATTGTTAGGTTTAGAATATTAATACGTATGTCTAAACATTCACGTACACGCAGTTGAACAGATTTTTTTAATTTAATTACGTTTAAAATATTAATGACATTATTTTATACTTCTTTAACAATGAATTCAGGGAAATAAAATACTTTTTTGGATAACAACTGAAACTCTTGGAAGTAGTGACGTAAATGTTTATTGTAATATGATATACGTTATACTACAGAGGTATCTTGTTCATGACATTTTAAAAAAAAAAGCTATTGGGATTATTAATTGTCTCAGTTCACAATCTGACAATGACATCTACAGGTGCATCACTACAACGGTGCGGGCTCGGAGTCTCTTCATTCTTTCTTCGTCACTTTATTTTCCGAGTAGAAATCTTGCAACAGCTAAGGTGTGTGTTAAACATTAAAAGTCTTATAACAAGGTCTGCTTTATGTAGACTTTTGCCGAAGCACTGCGTAATAGCTATATGCTGTGCGGACGATCTGTAAAAAAAATAACGCCATTTAAAACAAACGATATTTAATTTGATCCACAGAATTGTCACGTCACATCGCGAAACATCTCTCAAACGGATACTACAGCTACAGCCATTTCGAAATAGACTCATGTTAGGTAAGAAGTATTAAGTCAGCGCGTGTAAATACTCTGGCAATCATACCAGAACCATTATTTAAAAAGTAAATTAGAATAATGACATATTTTGCCTTCGACTTTTACTTCATTACTATAAACGTGATATTCAATTTTAATCCACTTCTAGACATATTAAGTACACCTTTATTGGCTACAACGCTTATTTTACATGTAATATTCACACCTGTATAAAAGACGGCAAATTTAGTGAAAAGAATGGTCCGGCGTACAGCTGATAGCGCCGCGACATGCCCATCATGAGGAGAAGCAGCTCCTTGCGGACACGCGGGCTTAGGCACCACCATGCCGACCCCTGAGGACCCCTGCCTATACCAGCTGAGCTCTAAAAGTTATAGGTTATTTTATTACTTCGGTATTATTAATTACTAGATGTTGCTCGCGATTGCGTCCGCGTGATATTAAAAATTACCTATGTTACTTACACATAATTTACCTTTCTAACGGTGAAATAATTTTTAAAATTGGCCTGTTAGTCACACACAAAAACACCAATCTTTCCTCTTTATAATATCAGCATAGTTATTTAGAAAACTATGTTATTTCAAAACTCAAATCCTTTATTAAATAAGTTGTACTACTGGTTCAACATTTCTATTACAAATTTAAAGGTTTATTGTTCGATCTTACCATATTTAAAACGGAGTCGCCGTAATTACAATAAAGAAATAGTTGTGTGAGTGTAGCGCCCATGTATTGAAGTAAAGATATCAGTTGAGTGGTGCTCAAATCCTGCAGGGAATAGAAAAAAATATTGTTATACTCGTAGCAGGGAAAGTTCACGGTTATGCTGATATTACAGACTACCCAATATGCTATTGACCAAGGATGAATTTTTTACTACAAATATCAACCTGAAAAATCTATATCACTAAATAACTATTGGCATTCAGAGGGCGAATTGCGAGCGCGCAGGACAAAGCCGTGTGTTAGTGAATAATCGTTGAATTGTTGCCGCATCGCGTATCTCAATACGTGAACGTTACTAGTAGGGGTCAAAGTACATGCACTATTATTGTATACTCACAGATTTAAGTTGCACCGCGACGGAGCACAATGTGACCGTCGCCAACCAGAAGTAAAATCCCAAAATGTTCTTTGTCAACAGATTAAGCTGTTTTACTATCCTGTAAAACATTTATATTACTAGTCGACACTTACTCGTATTTTGTAATGATAATTCAGAAAGAACACTCGAGAGAGAATATGCCACAACTACTGCGAACCGGTGGATTAAAGAAGCAACCATGAGACGCATGCTATGATTTTCTTTTTGTGTTAATATTTTGTCTAGCAAATACAAGTATAAATATTTTTATTATTATATATTTTATGCAAGTTGGAATATAATACTTACTGTATAAGTGCAATGTGGAAACGGTGACAATTTTTTATTCTCATATGTGCGCGAACGTCTCTTGCACTGCTCAGAGTACATTCTTTGCCGCTGCTGGCTATTTGTTCGCTTTTGGCGTGTAGCAGAGAAAACTGTCCATGTATAAATATCATCAGACCGACTATTGTAAGGTCGAAGGCGATGTGCACACACACACAATAAATTGCCGCAATAGTCTCCAGTGTAACGCTTAATATGTACCAAAATATACTCCTTTCAGCAAACGGGACCCATACTGGCAGTATATGTGGGTAGTCGACAGTTTTCTGACCTTTCAATTGCCACAGCGCGTATTGAATAAAAGGTGACACAATAAATATTATCGCCGTAAAACTGTATATTCTCGGTAGCAGCGTAAATGTGAATTTAAACGATTTGCTGTAACGTTTAGCATATTTAGATACAATGATATTATTTTCATTATCCGAGTCATATTCGAGAGGTGATGGATTTCTTTCTTCTTTCAATTCTTCTATTTCGAGTTGTGCTGACTCGTTAAGGAGATAACGCCATGACTTTTCGTTACGTCGTAATGAGATTAATTTGATAATGCCCATGCCACAAAACGAGAGAACGCTGAAGCATTCGAAAAGGCGTTTAGGATCGTCTTTGGCAAGAATTAATTCAACGACTTGCATACTAGTAGCGGCAAAGAAAATAGCTCCTGCAACATTGGCTAGCCAGTGTATCCCACCCGTAATTGGGTTCATAAACAAGCCAGCGTTCCTTAGTGATTGCCATACAAAGGTTACCAAATCATTATGCTTTTCTCTCGGCTTTGGGCATTTTGAGTGCCCACGCTGCTTTTGTTTTCTTATCTAATTTACAAAAAATATAAATGTAAGTACCAATATTAAGCGCCTGTCCCACATTTCTTGTAAATTGACAGATGATTCAACGTATAGAATACGTGATGAAAATATCGGATTTTGGTATTCTAACTGACAATGACGTTACTTCTAAGCTGCCTGAGTCGCTATCAGTCAGTGGTGGGACAGGTATTATTAAATATACTACTTTATAAAAACATAGAAAAATAACATTTAAACCAGTGGAAATAACAGACAATGGATTTTATTGTAAAAATAGGTTATTGAACGTCGTTTAGTTTCTAATTAACTTACTCGAAGCTCGAGGAAACCTTGCATTTCAAAACGCTGAATGTAAGAAATTTGTATCGACACAGTTCGGTAAGTATCGGCGGTGCTAGTTAATAACAAAGTAACATTTTCTCCGAAGAGAAATGGTGGGGCAATTAGTTGAGCGTTGCATGTAGTAGTCACTTTCAGGCTTTCCTTATAGTACCCAATGTTTTCTTTTTCTGTTCTGCATATTTCGTAATATAATAATAACTGCACATTTTTTATACATTTCCTGTTAGATATTATATGTGAACTGTAATATTGTGTTTTTGTATAAAAAAACATTACAGTTTTTATTATTAAAGTTATAGTATATTTTTGAATAATTCTTGTTTTAATAAAAAGCCCTACATTTACGTCACGTTTTAGGCTACATATTTTCACGCCATTAAACTTAGGGGGTAAATGTTTTGGATAAAAACCCTAATGTGGGAAAGAGACCATAAGTTGCTGCCAACATCAACAAAGAAAGGTTTGTCATGTCATGTCATATCACATTTTGACATTTTGCTTGACAATTGATAATTTGACAAATGTAAACAATAAAATAAAATTTTCAGAATTTCATCCGAATGAAGCCGCACGGGTACAGCTAGTTTATATATAAAAGCCAGCCAGAAGGAGACAAGATAATTTAAAAAAACATGTAAATTGAAAAACAAATATATTTTAGTCGTATTACATTTTATGTACTTTAGTATATTTTTATACAGCTTGAGGAAATATAGAATTAAAAAAAAAACATACAGACGTATTGAGTACCTCCTCCGTTTGGGAAGTCGTTCAATAAAGAATAATAATAGTTTACGAGAAAAAAAATAATGTTACGGTCTACAACATTTTGTATTAATAACAAGTAAAGCAATTTACGCGAGTAGTATTATGTATTACGTGTATTTGAAAAATTTTAAAACTTTGTCCAAACAAAAGTTTTAATTGTGTTTCTAATTAATTATAATAACGAAAAAAAATTATGCCATTGTTTCGTGCTACTGTTTTTATTGTATTATCACATAATACAAATTTACGCTCGGTAAAATTTTAAATAGAAACAAAACATTAAAAAATACATTTTAATGAATCGTAGTATTTTTAAGGATAATTAATGAAACTTTTTTTATTAATAAGCAATAAGTTATACGTTCTTAATTTAAATTTACTTTTATAGGAAAAGGAAACTATCTGCAACAAAGGCAGGTTGTGTTATTCACAGCCAACCTTTTCCGTGTCACAACAAAACAAACGAACGTCGCCAACAAATTGGCTTCTAATCATTAGCCTAGAGTTCCTTGCGTCTGTCATAATTAATGGAGATGTTATGATTTATTTTATGTTTCAATGTTAAAAGTAAGTATTTCAAATATTAATAATAGTAAACTGAACTCTGACGTATGATATATTATGTGCTTTGCTATACCCTATATAACATTTTATTTACTATCCAAAGCTTTTGCTATACTAAAGGCCTGTCCCACCAAATTGTAAATTGTCGTGCAAAATATGTGATGGAAATATTGGATTTTGTTACCTTATCTGACGTCATTTTAAGCTATCTGAGCCTCTATCTGAAAGTGGTGGGACAGGCCCCAGACGTGTGGCCGACTGTATTTGGATATATAATTTTAATATATTATCATTTACAAATAAGTAACTTTTGAAAAGTAGTAAATTAACTTTAAATTAGTCTTATACATTGAAATGTAATAGTTAATTTTACTTTCGTATATTAATAGTGAGCAAATGATGATTAAGGTAAGGTAATTAAAAAGACATTTAATTTAATATATTTTTTTTAATTGTTAGTAATAATTAGGTAATTCATGTTTATATCTATTTAATGCATAATAATTCCCCATAGTTATCCACGTCCAAATCAAAATCATTAACATAATGTTTCTTCTTCTTTCACCATCCGGAAGCGCAACCAGTATTACTTGACCTCCCTAAAGATCCAGTATCCCATCCGGAACCCAAAGATCTCGCTGCTCCATATCCGCCGTTTCCGAATGTTCGAGCCCCAGCGCCGACAGATCCTCCCCAAGAAGACCGAGCGAGAGGACCATGGCTTTGTGAGACACGTGCATTACCAGCACTAGGGTGGCTATCAAAACTGCCGTCCCATCCTCGATTACCTTAAATGAATCATTACAAATTTTATTTGCGAACTTTCTCACGATGCACTCAATTTTCGCTAACAAAAGCTTTCTAATGGTGTCGGAGTTTTCCGGCACAAAAAGTATCCTGTTTATAAAATCAGTAAAAACGAAAGAAGGTGGTCTAATAGAGAATTCATTCTCCAAACAGTTGTTTATTTAGTAAACTGAAACCATGAAACGACACCCAACAATAAGCAAAATATGAAAGAGTAAAACATACCTGGGGATCGAATAATTCTACTTCCATCGATCACAGCTAAGAAAGCCGTGATGGCTATCAGACATTGCACTTTAAACTGAAAATATATATTTTTGACGATGACATTATTTGAATATTTAATGTTACTATACATAGTTTAACAGTTAACTTACCAACATACTGCCAATCTTGATATTTAATAACTTAATGCCATCACTGCGTCTTATATAGCTGCTTAAATTTTGGCCCTTTGTTATTTATCGTGCATTTAACAAGCTCGAATTATGTCACTCTATTCATACACTAAAGTATCATGCTAAAGTCATTAGTTGACAAAAATGTTACCGTCACGAAATAAGTTTTACCTCTTTCAAATATCGCTCTTTGTAGCTGCGATTTTTTCCTTCAAATAGCTGTTAATGATATCGCTTGGATTACTTTTTTATGTTTTACTAAGTGTAATATTCTAACAGGAAAATAAGTTTACGAAAAATGAATTGCTTTACAGAAAAGATGGATAATAACGTATAATCGTCTCCCTAATCATTCCACTTTTAATTTCAAGGACAAAGTTTTTAGTGTATACTTTTGGCTTAATTTAAGAAGATTACATTTCTAAGCTAAAAGTGACCGGATCACAATTGTTTTACGTTCCACGACCTCTTTGCAAGAAACGTAGCATTTGCTCCCAATGGTCGAAGCGAGCTTGTATTAGACTAATTAACCCTAGATACCAACTGTAACATTATTTTTCGTTTCACAATCATATATCTTACTAAGATATAAATGTGAATGTTTCGATAGATAATGTTTTATAGAGTTTAACGCCTAAACGGCTGAACAGATTTCGGTGAAATTTGGCATAGAGTAGAGACTGGAAGGACATATACGCTACTAGTTTATTTATATTTATATAGGGCCATAGAGATACTAGTGTATTTAATAAGGTAATGTAATTTGTTGCATAATGGTTATATAACATTGTAAATAAGAGCTCTGCTCTGTAGCTATAACCTATCACGCGACAATCACGGCGTACGAATCAATGTAGTTCGAAATGTTTGCAGAAATCACTTATTAAAATTACGTATCACGAGGGTCCAAAGGTGATCGAGTGGGGGCACATTCGATATGTTCAGTTTTATTACACTTGGATAAATTTGTTTTGTTATGGCTGTGGTTTATATGAACAGAAAAAATATTGTAATCTAACTAACCTTACTATTGTTATAAATGCGATGATTTCGATGGATGGGTATTTGTTAGAGTTTGTAGCCTAAACTGCTGAACGGATCTCGATGAAATTTGGCATAGTTGTAGAGGATAGCCTGGAAGAAAACATAGGCTACTTGTTTTGGTTGTTTTTAATTACACGCGGACGTAGTCGCGGGCGATATCTAGTATTAGATGAGGTTGAAAAATAGGGTTATTGTTAAGATAATTGTATCACATTTCACAAAGTAAAAGTAATAAATAAAATAAATAGACAATCTTAGAAAATATTGATACAGTTTATTCTTCTGTCGTGATTCAGCGATCATAGTTGACTAGGTCATGGTTTGGTAAGTTTTGTTGGTTTCGTCTACAATGAGATCGACATTACCACATATTGCTACCCCTCATATTCTGTTTGAAATAACAGAGAGAGAAATATTACATTGGACTGATTTATAAATAATCTAATCCTCAGTTCGGCGCTTTATTTGTCTTGAATCTGTTTCCTCGACGTGAGAAAATGATGGAATGACAGATTAATAGAGAGTAATTATGATGGACTAATGTAAAGGATATCGATTCTGATGTAATAAGCACTGACTACATAATGATTTACTTATCAAGTAGTTTTAGACATAATTAGCTATTGCTCGCGACTTTGTGCGCATGAAATAAAAAACAATAAAAAATAAAACATATGTTACTCACTGATAACGTAGTTTTTTAATTTTTAATTTTTGAAATCGTCCCAGTAGTTTTTGAGTTATTTCAATAAATACATAAATGCAAATCTTTCCTCTTTATAATATTAGTATAGCTACAGGTGAATAGATATCAATACCCACTTTTTTCAATGAATATGTACTAAAAAGTATTCTGATTAAAATGTTATTAAGACACTGACATCATGACGGTTGTTATTGTAATTATATCTTAACTATATACTTAACAAATTCTATTAGTTATTGCTTGACAAATTACTAAAAACGTAAAACGAGGAAAAACGGGTTTTTATATGTATGCGCATTAACTTATTATTACCTGTAAACCATGAATAATTGAGTTCATAACCTTTTGTTACATAATGTTATTAGCAGAACTATACAAAGATTAAACAACATTTAAGAAACATTTAAAAATCAATAAAAATAATGATTAAATTTGTGAGTTTAGACGATCTAAATAAAAAAAAAACTTACTATAAGAAAACTACGCTGAGGGGCCACTTCAGTAACAATTTAACCTCTCTAAGTTAGATCATAAATCCATGTCAAATGTGACCTTAAACAATATCTTACTAATGTTACAAATGCGAAAGGTTTACATAGATGAATGTTTGTTAGAGTTTGTAGCCTTAACAGCTAGACGTATCTCGATGAAATTTGGCGTCGACGTAGAGGATAGTCTGGACGAACACATAGGCTACTCGCTTTTGTTTTTAATTCCACGCGCACGGAGTCGCGGGAGAAAGCTAGTAACTCATTATCATTACTCTAACATATGACTTTCAGTAAAGAACGAAGTCCAAACACGTGGTACTGTTATCATTCATTGGCTCAAAAACGTGATGCTGTGCTCATGTAAATAACTTTAATTAAAAATATATTTACTATCTCTAAAATAATATGCAATTAATTAAAGTTAGAAAGGAAAATGAACAAGAATTAATCGTAAAGCAAAGTGAGAATTTAAGTTTCATTTAATGTTTTTTGCGGTAATAACTGTCGATTAAAGAAAGATCTCGCATGGTTTTTGAACCTTTCTATAGACATAGTAATATCGAATATGTGCCTACTAGTGAAATATCATCTTCAAGAAATGCATACATTAGTCTCGAAGCGTTTTATTTACAATCTTAGAGGGTTACTAGCACTTAGAATATCTATCAATAACCATAAGCGTGAGATGTCAGTGAGAATAAGAAATCCTACTTCTCAGTTCTTTAGTCCTTTTTATCAAGAGGTGATAATTTATTCTGCTATCATACATCGGGAATATAAAATTCAAACAATAGCGATCAGTTACTCATACGTCTATTTGTAACAAGTGTCAAGTGCTTAATCCAAATCACCCGACTCTCCAGACCGCATCCTGTTGATGCACGGTCCAGACTTTTATCTCATACCGTTTACCACCCACTATCTATATCTTAATTTGTATCGAGCTATTTCAATTTTTCATTTAATATGTACAATATTGCAATATTGATATGCAATACGAGAATATAGATAGCTTAACATTCCAAATTAGCTTTGAAAATGTCACTTTTGTTAATTCCAATGATAAAATTCCACCCAGAATGCAATTGACTTAAAATTATTTTTAAAAGTGTATTTCGTTTAAAACGCAATTAAATATTACATTTGAGTAAAGTCAAATATTAAAATAGTTAGCAAATGATACAAGATATATTTATTACTTTGTAAGATAAACATTAATATTAGGTTTCAAACTACATATGTGCATACACTATTAGCTACATAAAAATAGTATGTTTTACTCAGTTAGGTCAAGTTTTGTCATTGGCTCTATTACGCATGTACTATTGATTTTTTGTGATACTGTGTAAAGTACAAGGTGTTATTTGTAACTGAAATTGTTGTATAGCCTTCATCGAAATATCGATGCACAAGTCTTCCGGAATGGGGTCTTCGTATTAGACGCGGACCCATAAGATCCACTAATGGGATCTACAAGCTTACGCCCGCGATTCCGTCCGCGCGAAACTAAAAAAAACAAATGCAAGTAGCCTACGTGTTCTTCCACACTATCCTCTACATCTATGGCAAATTTAGAGTACAAACTCTAAAAAACATCTATCCATCCACTTAAACTTTCGCATTTATAATATTAGTATGAATTATGATAAATAAACAAAATATGATTGTTGAGATTTTTCTGCGAATTTATTTTTTGTTGGGGATGTTCAGTAAATACCATGATGTTGATAAAAGTGAAACTCTTGTACAATCTGAAATTCCTGGTACGCTAAAAGTTTCAAATTCCAATGAAGTTAATTCTGAATAAACATTCCCATTAAAATGTTTTCGTGGTTTTCATAGATATTGTAACCAGATTCAATGTTCAATGTTTTGATTAACAACATGTATGATGTAACTAAGAACTGTTTGGAATACTAAGTAAGTAAAAATGTAGCGCACGTTTCGGCTAATGTAGTTACAATATTTTATTTCAATTATGAATTAAATAAATCAAAACATGTTATTTCGGATAGAATTATATGTTTTATAGAGGCAGAGGTGCTTGCTAATAATTTATTTTAATAGTCGATAAAAATATTAGATGTGCGATTTATTTTTTTTAATATATTCTGTCAAAATTGCAAATAATTAGGTGTAATAGCAATATAATGGAAGACAAACGATTTGTAAGTTTATTTAAACTTTAATGCTATTTTCAAGGCTCCGTACAAATATTGTGATTTGTAAAATATTTGGCAAGATCTTTATTGCTTTGATATACCTTTACAAGAATAAATAAATCACATAATTAATATCTTAATTACGAACCTTTCAAAAGGGCTTGAGTCCATTCTAAATTCAAAGTAGACGGAAGTCAAACACGCAGACCGTTTGCGGATAATTGTGCCACAATCTCACAAACCACAATGAGGCTTTCCATAAACATACTGGGAAAAAACAAAATGGTTAACTACTAAGATACGAGGACTGATAATCTTTGGGATTTATACCCTCCTTTCATTTTTAAAAGTAAATGTCATCTAATGTTTGTCAATACCCTATACTATTATCATAAAGAGGAAAGATTTGTATTTTTCTTTGAATTAAATTAACTCAAAAAGTACTGGGCCGATTCTAAATTTATTCATAATTAAAAAGCTATGTTATCGCTGAGTAACATAGGCTATATTCTTATTATTTTTAATTTCACCCAGATGAAGTCGCAAGCAACAGCTATAAAGAATACGATAATATGAAATTTTGTCTAAGAATTTGTTCAGGTGTTGGTTTAAATAACTGGTAATTATTAGATGATACTGATATTTCTAAACATATACAAAATATCTCTAAGTGGAAATTTTATCCCGCCGATTGACACAAAGACCCCTATTTTCCGCGTGGGTCGTGAGAGACGACACGTCCACGCCGGTCATCTTTACAATCGTAATAGCATAATGGCAATGTATAAAATAGCTTTAAACGAATTTTCATTCGCAGTCTTTCGCGACAACTAAATCTGAACGCAGCTTGTGAACGTTTTAGTTCCTAAATCAAGTTCAGTGAGAATAGTTTGTGTTTTATATTAATTATAAAAAGGTACAAAACTAATTTATTTAATTCTAACGATTGCTAGTTGATTTATTCAAGAGTTAGTTCTGTGTAGCGGCATTATTTTCTGGAATCGTCTTCCTTGACCAGTGCAATCGGAAGTGAGTTCTTTCATTCTTTATTTCGATTGTCATGTATTTTAGTTTAATATAATTTTTGTTCCTACTAATGTTACTTGATTAAAATGCTACGCTTTTATTAATCTGTTGAAAACAGTACACAATTAAACCTACTTAATAATTACAATCTTAATATTTCAATAGTTATAATTAAAAATGAAAGTATAATAAATGAAAGTATAATATAATATTTTTTTTAAACAATTATTTAAAATTAGATTAAAAAAAATAATTTTAATTAATAGTTAAATTAATTATGTGCTTATTGTGAAATACATTTGCATTGCATGATTTAATTTTAATGTAAGTGTGATTTTATTCGTATTTTTAGTCTACTAAAAAATATAATATCCATACAAAAATGTAGAAATTTCCTGAATTACACATCGATTAACACTTGCGTAAGATTCGTGGAACGGTTCGATACTGTAATTAGCTGTTGGTATAGGAATTGAATTAGCAAATAGAGAACTTGAACTGGCGATGTTACGTCCTCATTTATCTCGATCATCGTTCGATTGTGTCCCTCTACGTCACATGTCACGCCACTCTGTACGTCCGAAATAACAATTGTCAATTGTTCCCGTCAAACGTTGTTGAATTTGCGGATATTTTTTTTATATAAAATCTATAAACTCGAGCAAGGAATAATAGTAGTTTTTATTAACATTAAAATGTAGATCTAATTGTCTTTATTACTAATATTATAAAGAAATATCTGAATTATTGGATTTTTGTATGTATTGAAATAACTCAGAAACTACTGGGCCGATTTCAAGAATTTATTCACCATTAAAAAGCTACATTACCAGCGACTAACAGGCTATATTTTTTAATTTTACGCGGGCGAAGTCGCAAGCAACAGCTGGTTTATAAAAAAGGTGAAATTGGAACACACGACTACGTGATAGGATGATCCTTTATCTATTAAGCAATTGGTGCAACTTGATCAACTTGTCGTTAATTGCGTTATATGATACCATAATAAAAATGATTGTCATTGTTTTCTACTTTTTGTATTACAAAATCAATTTCACAAGTGACAGTTGTAATAATGCAATGAATTAGTAATAAATTGTAAGGCAATTCACGCGTACTAGTGCGTCGTCGGAAGCATTAATTAAAATATAATCATAAAAGTAATTATTTCTATTGTTATTACGTTGAAAATGTAGTTAAATTAATTACCATTAAGATACAAATGACAAATTTAAATTATTACAGCATAAAAGGTGATTATTGACTAATTGGAACCTTCAGGATCCAATCTGGTACTTAACTTGAGACCCGTGCGTTATTTTACTAAGTTTGTGAACGACTTCTAGTCCCTAGATTTAAGTTGTCTTTACATTGGTTTGTTAATTTAAATACAAATATTTTGGTCGATGGATACTTGTTATTAAGGTATTATCTAGAACGTGTGAATGGATCTGGATTAAATTTTACAAACTTGTAGAACACTATTTGGAATGCATAAGCTCTGATCCCTTATTTTAATTCAGCGCGAAAAGAGATAGGCCACGACTAGTCTTACTTTAATATTATACGAGTAAATGCAAAAGTTTAGATGGATGGATGGATAGACGGAAGGATGGATGTTTGTTAGAGTTTGTAGCCTAAACGGCTGAACGGATTTCGATGAAATTTGATATAGATGTGGGTCTTGAAGAACACATACATAGGCTACTCACTTTTGTTTTTTTTTTAATTTCACGCGGACGGAGTCGCGGGCGAAAGCTAGTATGTTATATTTCTTAAAGCTATAATTTGATCATTAGCATAAAAAAAACACATTGCTATTATACTGACGCTCATGACCTGAGAATGATTACTAAGGTACCCCCTTCTTCTTAGATTATCTCACAAGTGTCCAAGATGGATCGCTTAGCAACATTGTGTGCGGCACGTCCACTAATAAATCTGTGTAGGAGATAGATCATGCTAAAGTCTATAAAAGTTACATCAAAACAATTATCACGTGCATTGAACTAAATAACGAAATGTATTGTTACATTTTGATGTCATTGACCTTTAGTACTGTAATCATTGATCTCATTTTAACCTGTAATTGTCACAAGGTGAAACAAACATGCATGTTACTTACAACTTCAATTAACTTCTCATAAATGTATTGTAAATAAAACAATGATCTTTTGGCGTACTTAATAATAACCCGTACTTAATATTATAAAGAGGAAAGATTTGTTTTTTTGTATGTATTGAAATAACTCTAAAACTACTGAGCAGATTTTAAAAATGCTTCCACCGTTAGAAAGGTAGTTTATCTGTGAGTTACATAGACTATATTTAATTATTATTTTTTAATCTTTTATAAATGTAATTGTAGAAAAGATATTTGTGGTGCTTAGTGATTGTAACAAAATCGGGTTCTCTTAAAGAGCTCTACCCATGCAGTACACAAATACAATTTGTTGTACAAATTTCAATATTTCTTTCGTAAATGAAACTGTTATTTTGAGCTGTATTTTTTGAAGGTTTTTCAGATACAAGCTGATTTTTGAATACTCAAATTTGTCGGCCGATAAAATCATAATTCGCACGTGTTGTAAATGTAATAAGGTCATACTTGAAGTTGCATCAATACGTTTATGTCGGTCTGTGTGTATTGGATCGTAAAATGGCAATAGAGTTGCAACTACAATATAGGCGTTTATTTTTTTATTTATCATCCGGCGTTATTAAATCTTCAGTGCCAGGATTCACTAAATTATGCAAGTCCTGGAAACGCGTACAGTCAGGGACTTTTATTTTCTTTTATTTCATTGAAATATGTTTTATTTTTATCATTACATAAATTTCATAAATATGACATCACAAGGCATTTCGAAAAATTTGGTATAGCCACATTCACTCTTAATTATAACTCTTACGATGTTCGGTACTAAGTGGTAAGCAAATTTAATTCTTCGTCTGTACTTTTTTCATTAAGCTTACTCTGTGTCACACGTTCCATTATTCGTATTCACATAAAAAACCCTTATTATCTTCTTGTTTTTGTCACGTGACCTTCTAGGTTTCTTATACAGTTTTAGGGACAATGTAAATTTTTATTTTTTTCAATGACGTCATTCTGTTTTAAATTATACATACGATGAGCCTTGTCGTAGTTGTTCAATAAGTTTCCTTCATTATACGCGCAAATGAGTTATATGTAAAATAACTTAGTTTTTTCTCAAGACGCTCGCTTGTATACAATGTACATAGTAACCTTTGTACAACCTTTACAGTATAGTGAGTTGTTTGTTATTTCTGTATGGGTCAATATTAAAATTGAAGAATAATTAAAAAGAATGAAATTTCCTAAGCGTAACGAATAACAGGGACTATTTATTTTTTTTTACTATCAAAAGTTGGCAAACGAGCAAGCGGCTACCTGAATCCGCCTAAATGGCGAAGCGACCGCTGTCCATAGACATTCGCAATATCGGATGCCTTGCCTTTGATCGACGGAGGAGGGACACACATGAAAAGGATATTTCCACTTTCTATGCGTCTCCTGCACCCTCAAATCCTTTTTGTGTAAGAAAACGTGTGGGAAGGAAAAGGGACTAAAGGTGGGCCTCCGGCATCACACTCTTCAAACGAAACGCGGAATTGCTTCCACTTTACACCTGTCGTCTGTGGTCGTGGTATTTTACTGGGCGTGCTAACCCATTCCTGCGAAGATCCTTAAGCGGGCTTTACCACTTAACTGTTATTATTACCACATGTCTAAGTTTTTTATTAAAGCCTGTGCTCCATTACCAAAAGAAATAGAGCGATCAAATTTTACTTACCTTACCTAAGTTTTAATAAAACTTTCTAATTCATAAAACAAATTAAATAATAAGCCAATAATTTTCTATCATTCAAACAACTATAACTAAAACATTTATAAAATCTATACTATTATAATAAAGCGTAAACACACACTTCTTTGTTGCCTAAGATGTCAGCAATCACAGCACATTTTCGAATAACTCTTTTTTTAATAAAAAGCCCTACACTTACGTCACGTTTTAGGCTATATTATTTTCATGCCGTTAAGCTTACGGGTAAATATTTTAGATAAAAACCCTAATGTGTAAAAGAGATCATAAGTTGTTGCCAACATCAAGTAAGGTTGCCATGGTTTGACATCATTTCATGTCATTTTGACATTTGCAATTGATAATTTGACAAATGTGAACAATAAAATGAAATTTTTATAATTTCATGCGGATGAAGTCGCATGGGAACAGCTAGTATTTAATATGATATAAATATAATAGCAAAGTATAATATAGTTATGTAACTCATAATATTGATAATAAAAACAATGAATTTTAACATATCTCCTGCGTAAAATTTAATGAACTCGTCAAAAAAAGATTTTTAAATAACATCAAACGATTCATTCAAAAAAAAAATCTACGTGTATTTAATGAAAATTTTATTACATATTCGGAAAATAGAAATAATTACCGTGCGCGTTTAGGAAATAAATGATACGTAGCCATAATTATAAGCATTGTACTTACACTTAACAGGCTTGCGAACGAAATGCAAATTTTAACTGTCATTAAAAAAAATTCAAAAGAAAAATTAAAACGGATTTTTTCTTAGTATTAGGTAACTTAAGTCCAATTTGCACAATTATTAATTAGTAAAAATATATACGACTTAAAACCTATATAAAAAAAGAAATATAGACCTATGGATACAAAATGTATGTGAAGTCGTACTTCTGTTGTTATAACCTTGACGTACGTGCATTTAAAAAAATAACACACAGCTTATTAATTGCATTTTAAAATGTTAATTTAGCCTTAGCTGCATTAGTAAAAGTAAAATATATAAGAAAATAATTCTTATACCAAATTATTTCCTTTGGAAATATTACAGTCATTATTTAAAGTTTTTTACTGCACTACAACAAATGAATGTGTAGATTTATTAAAGTTGTATTGCTTATTCTTAATCAGAGTCGAAAGAAGAAATACAAAATAAGGAAGGATTTTGCGTTTTTTTTAAGTTAACTTAATATTTACATTATTAGTAATATAACAAAGCGTAAACACACACTACTTCGTGGCGTAAGATGTCAGCGATCACAACATAATTTTTAATTATACTTTCTTAAATAAAAAGCCCTAAATGTCTGTGCAAAACACACATATGAATTACAGTAATTATAGAATATATTTCACCAATCCGGTAATAAAAACGAAGTAACGGCCTGAGCCGAGGCTCCTGAGGGAGCCCTAGAGCCTAGTTACTCATAAAAGAGATTTGGGTAAGCGCCATCTGCGCTCGGCCACCTCAAGCTCGGTGAATCTGTAAATGCCTCTTCAAGGCGAACAGTGGCTACTAAGTCACAAAAAATATATATACATATATGGTACATTCAGTGATCCAGTACAGTTCAACAGTAGATGAATATAGTAATAACACAATCCGTTATGTTTTTATTAAAATGCAGCGTGGTTTGATCACCTTGACATTGACCCACTTTTTTACAATGTTAACATCGGCTTAAAGCATCCACGAATATGTGTAATAAAAAGGATAATGTTAAACGAGGAAATAAAATCAGTAAATATCGTCAAAAAGAAATCGAATATATTGGCAATGAATTCACGCAATGCTGCACTAGCATAAGAAATGTCGCCTTGTATATGTATATAAATTTGACTTTTCTTAGTAATGAAATGTATAGTGCTTTCGTTTAACAACATCTAACTTTAATGTTTAAGGAAGATGCCGCCTCAAGGGCAGCAGAACGGGGAATCGTGGGCACTGTTCGAAGCAGATGCGAAAGCTGTGGAACCGGCGATAGTTCCACCGTCGGCTGAAAAGAGAAAATGGGAGATAGTATGGAGGAATGTCATACTCTTTGCTCTATTACATTTAACCGGACTCTACGGTGGATATCTTTTCTTCTTCAAAGCGATGTGGTCGACAAGTCTGTTCGGTAAGAATATTGCATAATCTATTTATAAACTTGCATTTTCAAAACAAAACTCGATTTCAATAAAACTAACAACTAACAATAACAACATGTTGTTAATCATTGAATAAGTATCGGAGATAGAAAACATTGTTTTTAATTTCTTTGAAATAACATGCCCTCGTAAGTTGACATCAGATTTGAATATGGAAATACGTGTCAATACTTAATTACTTTTAATTTGTAAGTAAAATCTTTATAACACACGCACAAAGCTAACTTACAATTTGTCGGCCTTGAGTTCAAAAGTAAGTGATCAATCAAGTGCTCTAAATGACCAAATTAATTTTTATTAGTTAGTTAGACCAAGTTAGTTTCTTAGAGAAAGATTAAAAAAAAGAGACTCCAATAATATAACTAAAAACTAGATGTTCGCGTGTGACTTCATCCGCATGGAATTACGAAAATTTGTCAAATTATCAATTACAAATGTCAAAACGACATGACATGACGACAAATTTGCTTCCTTGATGTTGGCAACAACTTATGGTCTCTTTCCCACATTAGGGTTTTTATCCAAAACATTTACCCCCTAAGTTTAATACCGTTCAAATATATTGCCCAAAGCGTGACGCAAGTGTAGGGCTTTTTATAACAAAAGAGAATTATTCAAAAATATTCTGTGATTGCTGACATCTTAGGCAACAAAGAGGTGTGTATTTACGCTTTATTATAATAGTATAGATGATAAAATCGAACTTAAGACCGTTCCATAATTATCGCTAATTGTGGTGGTAACAAATGTATGAATTTGTTTTCAGCGTTTATTCTATATCTGTGCTCGGGGCTGGGTATCACTGCGGGAGCGCATCGGCTGTGGGCACACAAGTCATACAAGGCTAAGCTACCTTTGCGAATGATGCTCACACTCTTCAATACGATAGCTTTCCAGGTAAGAAAATATAGCTAGACTTCATGCTAATTGATAGTCGTAGTTTCTTCGCAAGATTCACTATGGATTGTGTGAAAGATGACATGGTCAAGAAGGGAGTGATGACTGAGATGACGGATGATAGATTTATATGGAGGACGAAAACCCGATGCGCCCAAACTATTGGATTAGGATAAGGTAGGC